ACACCAATGTTTTTCCCTCCATCTTTTTCCCTCCCCACTTCCTCTCTTAAATCAATAAACATATCCAGTAAACATATCCTCTGGTGAGGGTAAAACACAACAGTAAAATGATAATGTGAGAGACACATATGTAAAGGGTAAAAGTTAGGTTTGTGATTAAATTTTACTGAAACCTGATATGTTGGGTTTAGATAATCTGTATGCCAAATTATGTCCTTCAAAGCTTAACTGTGCATGCTATGAAATTTGTATACTCTGTTGAGGATTTTTTCCTGGGAACAGTACCACCTTCTACTTTTTTGTACTGAATGCACAAATTTGGAATATCCTTCAACAATCACTTGTTCTCACCCTTCTGCCTAGGGCAGCAGTCGCCAACCTTTCGGACCTCACAGATGGTCCGCGGACCACTGGTTGGTGACCGCTGACCTAGGGGATGGGAGGAGAGTATAGGAAAGGTGAGTGAGTATATATGAAAGTTAGAGTAGAAAGTGTACTGCTTAAATATCTAAAAAGGGAATCTCACCTTTTCTAAAAATACTCAGTCCCTGACAATTCTTATATGCTAGAAATGTTCCCTTGTGTTTCAGCCAAGCCTTTAGGATGTAATAACTGTGTCTTCCTCCTTGCCTGTATTAGGTACTAGGAGTACAAAGACAAGCCCTAGAGGAGCTTTTGGCTTGTTAATTTGTCATTTACTCCTAGCAATGCTTTCATCAACTCCTGGGCCAAGGCAAGTGTGGAGTAAAGAGCATGGTTTAGTACCAGGGGTCTTTGTATAGTATGGTATTAATGATCGAGTGTATGTTTGTTATTTCTGGGAAAGACAATGGTGCCACCTAAATGTCCTTAGTCCTGCTTTTATGACACTTTATTAGAATTCTAGATTGTTGTTGCCATTTTTGTATACTTGGCTTTCATTCCTTTCTTAACTTTAACTCTATGGCCTTCCAAGCAGAAATGCCAACTTTGTTCATTTTAGGACATATTTTATTCTACTTGCATTAAAAATACATTGGCCTTACAAAGTATGTGAATATCTTAGAATTTATGAAGACTCTTAAGGTATTCTGTTCAGAGCTGTGGGTTTGTTAGGTTACTAAATGACAGAGTTTAATAATATTTCCTTTTTTCTACCCTACAGTTTAAAACATAATTAAAGTTAATGAGGAAAATATTTTATGTAGCTAAATGACACTGAAGTTTTAATAAAAAGTGGTCTCTTTTGAAATGTTTTTAGGGCCTATAAAGTAACAACTAGAGAGGGAAATTTATGAGGATTCAGAAGTTAACTGAAAAGCTACCCATGAAGTAATATGCTTAATGGAACTTCTGATATGCAAACTTCAAATGACTATAAATTATTTGCCTCCAAAACCCCTTTGTTTTTGAACTTGTAAACCTACCCATTTTTACTTCTTTTTTTTCCATTTTAATTTCTTTTTAACCTTTTCACTCAGCTTTCATTTCTAATGGAAAAGTTTACAATTCATCAGTAAGTTTAGTTTGCTGTGTTATTTCTTTTTTAAAATGACAAAGCAAAACTTGGTCAATTTCACAGATATTTCAAAGCAGCACATCAAAAATTTT